CAGTAATCTGCCCATGTTCCAGGCTTCTTGTAGAGGACACATCAGTAATCTGCCCATGTTCCAGGCTTGATATAGTGGACACATCAGTAATCTGTCCATGTTCCAGGCTTCTTATAGTGACCACATCAGTAATCTGCCCATGTTCCAGGCTTGATATAGTGGACTCATCCGTAATCTGCCCATGTTCCAGGCTTGTTGTAGTGGACACATCAGTAATCTGCCCATGTTCCAGGCTTGTTGTAGTGGACACATCAGTAATCTGCCCATGTTCCAGGCTTGTTGTAGTGGACACATCAGTAATCTGCCCATGTTCCAGGCTTGTTGTAGTGGACATATAAGTAAAAAGCACATGTTCCAGGCTTCTTGTAGTTGACACATCAGTAATCTGCCAACGTTCTATGGTTCTTATAGTGGACACATCAGTACACTTCCCATTCCCATTGTTCTTATAGTGGACACATCAGTACTCTGACCACGTTCCAGGCTTGTTTTTGTGGACACATCAGTAATCTGCCCATGTTCCAGGCTTGTTATAGTGAACACATCAGTAATCTGCATATGTTCTAGGCTTGATATAGTGAACATATTAATAATCTGCCCATGTTCCAGGCTTCTTGTAGAGGACACATCAGTAATCTGCCCATGTCCCAGGCTTGTTATAGTGGACACATCAGTAATCTGCCCATGTTCCAGACTTGTTATAGTGGACACATCAGTAATCTGCCCATGTTCCAGGCTTGTTATAGTGGACACATCAGTAATCTGCCCGTGTTCCAGGCTTCTTGTAGAGGACACATCAGTAATCTGCCCATGTTCCAGGCTTCTTGTAGAGGACACATCAGTAATCTGCCCATGTTCCAGGCTTGTTATAGTGGACACATCAGTAATCTGCCCATGTTCCAGGCTTGTTATAGGGGACACATCAGTAATCTGCCCATGTTCCAGGCTTCTTGTAGATGACACATCAGTAATCTGCCCATGTTCCAGGCTTGTTATAGTGGACACATCAGTAATCTGCCCGTGTTCCAGACTTGTTATAGTGGACACATCAGTAATCTGCCCGTGTTCATGGCTTGTTATAGTGGACACATCAGTAATCTGCCCGTGTTCATGGCTTGTTATAGTGGACACATCAGTAATCTGCCCGTGTTCATGGCTTGTTATAGTGGACACATCAGTAATCTGCCCATATTATATTATGAGCATCGATCTACGCTGGTGGGGTACAATGACACGTTACCCCTTAAGACCAGCATAGGTTGCTAGGGAACTATTCTTACCCGGAATCCCCACAGTGTCTTCCGAAAGAAGGAACCGAACAGGTTTTTGATGACCCACATAAGTTAAACACCGTTGTGTCAAAGTAAATACTTCGAGGTATCCGAGGTTCGACACAAACGAAAAAAATGAATGAAGAAGGAATACGCAAGGACCAAGTTTTTACTTCGAGACAACCATAATTAAGCTCGACACTTCAAAGTTCGACACAACGGTGTTTGACTGTAATTGTTGACTTCAGTACATCCAGCATTCAAATCCCCCATCCCCAAATATGAAGGGTCGGCTCCTTACAGAAAATGATACTTATGTAGATCCCGTGGATTTTCATCCAAACGCATTCTTTGTTTGCAGTCGTATAACTTAAATGTGCGACAACACTAACTATTTACATGCTTTTATCACAGAGTATCGGCGAAGCGTCAATATGCATAGCTATGTCGGTGTACCTCGCACTGAGAGAAGCCATCTTGGATTGTCGGAAGGAGAATGCCTGTGACGGCAATTTCGATTTGCGCGTGCCAGCTACTTCGGAGAGGATCCGTGAGTCTTGTCGCTCATGTATCTCCAGACTGACAGACTGACATTTTTTACATCGGATGTACCTGGGTGAAATGACCTGGCTGTAATGACTAATTCTAATCAACAGTAGGATGACACAGACGTCGAGTGGAACCTACGAGATTCAAATACTAAAGGTATCTCAATATCACCATTATATCTTGAGAATATGTATGCACCGAAGGTGAAGATCTAAATTGTTTATGTACATCTACGTTAGTTTTGTTTTGTTTGTTTGTCAACCAAGTCAACGAGCCTGACCACCCGATCCCGTTAGTCGCCTTTTACGACAAGCATGGGTTGCTGAAGGCCTATGCCAACCCGGATCTTCACGGGTCTCGACGTTAGTACACAGCTACTTTTTATGTATACATATTTACAATATATCATAATGTCCACTACTCCCTGATCGCCCAGCTGATGATGGTTTCGCTTCGCTGCCTTCACAAGACAGACTGTTCGGAAAACCTCGATCCAAGTATATGGATCTTCTCCTCGCTGTCTCACGATACATATGTAACAGTGCGAACGGTCATTAGATACCAATGATCACACTGTGTCTGACGTCTACTGTCCTGTAAACAGTATAGGACTCCACTGTCAACTTCAACATCGTCTACAGTAGAACTGCCATGAAACAGGCCTTCAATCATCAGTGCAAAGTGGACATTAAAGTTCTTCGACATTTGTTTTAATCATGAAAATTGTTTCGCGAGAATATGAACCTTTCCATAATAACCTATCAGATACATTTATGTTACAAAATGTAAAGAGTTTAATATGTTGACTTAAGAATAGTCAAAGTAATTATGTTTTCAAGACACTGACGTATTATTATTTTTGTGACCGTCAGCTTCGTGATGTAGAGAGCCACGCAAGGCGATTTAGACACTTGTCTCGAGTTTGTTCAATTGTCAAAATATAATTATTACAATTTCGTGATTTTGAGTTATATCTTGACTATTCTTGAAAAGTCATTTTTATGTGTTGAAGTTATCACGAAGCTGCAACGTGTTTGTATATACGTAGTATAGTAATCATTATTGGGTGAGAACAAATTAATGCATATATTTGTGTTTATACAAGTGTCATAGCGACTGATTTATGACTACCATTGTCTGAAGCACATTTGACTCCAAAGGCAAATTACACTGTAGCCATGTCTCCATAACTTAATTGTCATTACGTTTTAGGCGCTTATCCCCGTTGTTAATCCTCACCAACATTTCATTGTATACTGACTGACAGCCAACCTGGGCTGCTATATCACTTCCCGTTCATTACTGTTATTTATAGTATGACCATTATTGCCTTAATTGTTCATCCCCTAAGCTGTGTCACCCCCAGAAGTCCCATGTCCAGAGCAACGTCATTGTCTTTCCATTGTTGTTCATTACTATATATGTGCTACCATTACACTGTTACTTGGGTGTTAGTCAAGCTTGGTATTCCGAGTGCTGGCGTAGGGGCGACCTCGAGCAGGATGTGCCGCTCGTAGGGAACGTCCTGAGGTTGAGCTGTAGCTCCGCTCACCTCTTGTATGCCTGAGCTGGAAGGTCCGCTCATCGCTGTGTTTGTGTTGTCAGAGCAGGTATTACGCTCATTGTGCAATTGTTGTTTATTGTTTACATGTTGTGCATAAAGCGTTCCGGGACAGTGATGTCGATTTTGTCCTTTATTCCCCCAAGAGCTAATTCCCCGTCAACATGCGCGTTGACACAAGTATTTACAAATGTTATCCAACTTTGGCAATAACTTGCAATGCGTAATGTTTTACTTTTAATATAACAAGTTGAGTAATTTTTGCTATTCGCGTGTTATGTAGGATTATGCCAAGAGAACTTAAAATGTAGTATTATACGCCTGTGACTGGCTGCAATGTGCAAGGTAATCAAGAGGATCAAAGTATAGACATGAGCTATATATATGCCTCTGACTGGCATTTACGTGCATCGTGTTATCTTTTTACTTTTAGCACTATCTGCTTAGTAAACTGAACGGCAAAAGACACTTTGCACCTGATTGAGGTGACTGTTATTAATAAACTAAAAACAACGAAAGTTTGAGGTAAAGTATATTTAATAAACCAACAATTCCACAAAGTATTGAACAACTCAAACTTGACATTTCGTGGTTAAATATTGTATACCAGACAATCAAAATCTTAGGGACTTGAAAATTCAGTTGTCCAGATTTTCATTGCAATTCATTCAAACAAGGAAAGTAGTCACAGACACAAAATGAGTCATTGTAATACCGAATGTGTCCACCCCGTGCCTACATACATGCAAAGACGAAGGGAAAATGTCAAACGTCTGATGAGGTCACGTGCCAAGCGGTTCCATTCATCTTGTAGAGCTTGTGTCAACTCTTGTCTGTTGGCGGGAGGGTGTGGTCGGACTGTAACTCGCCTGCCCTTGATGTCTAAGGGGTGTTCTATGGGTGATAAGTCAGGAGAACATGCCGGCCACGGTAAGACGTTGACGTTGTTGTTGGCAAGGATGTCCACAACGATACGAGCTGTGTGGGTCCTGGCGTTGTCGTGTACAGAACACCTCGTGGTTGTTGCTGTGCTCACCCGCCGACCCAAAAGCTTTAACTGCCGATGACGTCACTGTGAGGAAGCGGTTGCGGAGGTGAAACGTTCGCAGAAACCGGTCTTCCTGTGGCGTAGTGACCCATGGTCTCCCTGTTTTGGGCCTGTCCGATGTCCTTCCAGTCTGTCTGAAACGCTGCAACAAGTTTCCAACGCCAACACGGGAACAGCCAAAGGCTCTTGCAGCATGGATGTACGTGTCTACCATCTGGACCACCCCAATTGCTCGTTCACGTTGTTCTGATGTTAATCTTGGCATTTCAAATATGTTTTTTTTACAGTATGGATGTTTGACATTGCTACTGTGCTGTTTTCATACCCCTATGGCACGTGCATTTCTACCAGCAATGACATCACGTGATTTCACATTTTTCGCATTATCTCAAAAACACATGTGCATTGCCGGTAAAAACTACAGGTACAACAATGATGCGTTTGGGCTATGTGATTGTGCCTATTTGAGTTTGAACCAGTACAACTAATTTAAAATCACATTATTTTCAAAAGTTTATTTTGCAGTTCCTTTGATATTTCACGCATCTCACAAGAAACTAAAATTTTCCAATATCCCAGTGAGAGAGAGGGAGCTTAATTTCAGTAAAGGGGCCACCGGCCCATTATACAATACATGATATCAGTGTAAGACAATTTCAGCGCCAGTAAGAAAGTTATTACGCTTTGTAAAAGCAAGAAATATAAATTTAGCTGAAGCATGAATTATGCATGGGGTTTTAGATGTACAGAGTGTTACAAATTTATCAACAGTTACATTTGTGTAAAAATAATAAGGTAGAACCTTACGTCTCAAACTGTCATGGTATGAACATTGTGAACAAAAATGATATTCAGATTCCACTTCAGGTCTTACACAAAATGGACATAGTCCCTTAGCTCTAGGTATATTGTACTTCCTTCCATTTTCAATTTGCAAAGTATGACCAGAACATCTAAATCTACTCAAAGCAATACGATAGGCACTTACTGGAATACAATCTAGATAATTTTCAAATACATTATATTGCTTAATACAAGAATAAAAAGAAAGTTTTGAGTAAGTTCTTAAACTGCTGGACCATTGTTGGTAATCTATATCAATACATATTGTTTTAAAGTTATCAATAAAACCAATATGATTTACTCCTTGACTATTCCAAACATGGCCCAAACCATATGAATAAAGAAGTTGTTTTACCTTTAGTGCCCAGCAATGTATTCCTTTTTCTGCCAGGTTGTATTGATATGAATAAGCATGGCTAAGGATTATATTAGGTTTTTTGAGAAAAAAGTCGGAGCCAGTCTTTGACAATACGAACATGTTGATTGACTTTAAGTGAATAACGTCCAAGCTCACCACAAGCAACTATTTTGGGGACAAATCTCCCATATTGTAAAATATTCTTACAGAATCTATCATGTACATTGATGACATCCTGAGACGGGTGAAAACCCCGTATCTCTGAGCAGTAGAGAACAACAGGTAGTATTTTGACATCACATATATTTGTAAAAGTACATCATAAGGAAGTTTCATGAAATCCCTTGAGCCTGATTTTAAAGCGAGAAGATATTTCGTCGCTTGTAGAGCTAGTGTCTTCTGTGTAAAGTACCCACTACCAGATGATGAAAGAGGAACACCTAACGTAGGAACAATTTCTATAATGTCAGTGCCAAACCAAAACTTTTGATATATTCTAAGATGACCACTACGTCTAAATACAATAACTTTACTTTTGCTTATATTAATAGCCAATTTCCATTTATGACAAAAAATCTCCATTCTGTCGAGGCGTCTTTGCAACCCCACTACTGTACTATCGAATAAGACCATATCATCTGCAAACATTGGAATAAAAAGTTCAATCATTCCTAATTGGATATTACGTTGCCCGTCTGAATTAAGACAATCAACAATATCATTTACAAAGAATGAAAACAGAAACGGAGATAACTCACTCTCCAATATCCCAGTAATGGATAGTAACAATGATTATGGTCGGATACAGTTAACGTGGTTTACTTAAGTCAGATAATTATACTTTCCAAAGAAGGTTATTTGGATAGAATTATCAAAATTCCTTTTAACAAATCGTATCTTGGCAAATGTTAAATGTATTATCATGTAACGTGCATTTATTTTGTCACACGTATAATTTGAACAGGTACACATCATTAAACTGTCATGCTATTTTGTTTCACGATTGTGTACTTTATTTTCAAATGTCAAGTATTACTGATTAATGACGACAGGCGAAATATTACAAGACCTGTAGAGATTCTTGTTAATCGGATTTCCTTTTTACGGATGTCAATGTTGTTTTATAACCAGGATCTTCCATTAAAATGGTTAGTCATTAGGATGTGCAATTTTGTTCGGCGTTTTACCCGTTATTCGACATCTCCAAATATCTTTACTCTAAGTATGCATTTATACGGAGGTCGCCTGGTGCACATATCTTCTCATCGGCCCTTCATTCTGCCCTGCGATCGTAGATTCGTTTGGCGATGCTGAAGAATGATGAAATCCATTGGTCATTGATCTACAATTGGCTAAAATGTTTACAAAGGAAATGTGATAATATCAACAATGTCGATTGTTTAGAGCACTTATCGTTAAAACTTTTATCATTTTATAGTTATCAATCATATGCTCATACAATATTGATTACCCGGAATACCTCTGGAGTCTCAACACCAAACACAATCAGACGCATCGCATGACACTATCTAGAAGAGGTCTGTGTCACACTGAAACCTCCATCTCCAGAAACGTTATTACATTTGTCAAGAAATGTAACTTGAATATTTTCAGTGTTAACACTGAAGCTGCCACTACCAAGGCTGTGGCCTATGTTTACTCATACTAAGCCTGCTGCTACCAGGAGTGTGGCCTGTGTTTACTCAAACAAGGCCTGCCGCTACCAGAAGCGTGACCTGTGTTTACTCAAACAAGGCCTGCCGCTACCAGAAGCGTGACCTGTGTTTACTCACACTAGATCTGCCACTACCAGGAGCGTGGCCTGTGTTTACTCATACTAGAGCCGCCACTTCCAGGAATGTGGCCTGTATTTAAAAACATTTTACTCATTCTAGAGCTGCCACTACCAGGAGTGTGGCCTGTGTTTACTCACACTAGATCTGCCACTACCAGCAGTGTGGCCTGTGTTTATTCACACTAGGCCTGCCACTACCAGCAGCGTGGCCTGTGTTTACTCACACTAGGCCTGCCACTACCAGCAGCGTGGCATGTGTTTACTCATACTAGGCCTGCCACGACCAGGAATGTGGCCCGTGTTTACTCATACTAGAGCTGCCACGACCAGGAATGTGGCCTGTGTTTACTCATACTAGAGCTGCCACTACCAGGAGTGTTGCCCGTGTTTAATCATACTAGGCCTGCCACGACCAGGAGTGTGGCCTGTGTTTAATCATACTAGGCCTGCCACGACCAGGAGTGTGGCCTGTGTTTACTCATACTAGGCCTGCCACGACCAGGAATGTGGCCTGTGTTTACTCATACTAGGCCTGCCACGACCAGGAATGTGGCCCGTGTTTACTCATACTAGAGCTGCCACGACCAGGAATGTGGCCCGTGTTTACTCATACTAGAGCTGCCACTACCAGGAGTGTGGCCCGTGTTTAATCATACTAGGCCTGCCACGACCAGGAGTGTGGCCTGTGTTTACTAACTATAGGTCTGCCACTACCAGGAGTGTGGCTTGTGTTTAGGCAACCCACGAGGAACAAGCACGTGATGACAACAATCAATAGTAATGTCACTACCAGAACAAACACAATGTATACTCACAACAGAGCCACGGCAACAAAGAGTAGGATGATAGCGAGTGCAATGAATACAAAGCCCGGAAATATCGCTAGTGTTGCCTCGTAGATCAGACCTCCCACCATTGTTAACACTGCAGTGGAGACCATCTCGCTTAGCTCTATCACACAAAACACGGAACCTGAAACAGATTGAAACTGCAAGCACCCTTTTGCAGGATCCTAGTTTCTTTAACCAACAACATTCAGTCTAATTTGACCCTGAGTCAAATGTTCATCGGTGGTTAGAATGTGTGTGACCTGGATGATCGTATGTCATCGTGCCCTTATGGTGTGGAAATTTCCTCGCTCAGTCAATCACTGGATGAGCCGATTAGGATTCGATTATGGACAGGTCAGACACAATCTGTTTGCGTGTTTACAATGAGATTTGAACTACAATTCAAAATAACAGATACATGTACATAATCGTTCATATCATCGTGCAATCATCCTCTTCAGAACAGGTATGACAAGTACAGGTCTTTGATTACAGGCACAGGTCTCGCATTATTAACATACACCGGGCGGTGAGGCATAGTGAGAAACTTTCGTCACGCCGAAGACGATTCCAGTTCAATTCTAGAAAGTCTAATAGTACCACATTGGAAGCATAATTCTATTTTTATTTAATTCCTCGTTATTTCAGTTGTTTGTTTATTTCTTTTTGTAATTTCAGTTATTTTCTCGTTTTTTAAAAAAATTTCTTCGAGATATGAGAACAAAATTAGAAATTTTGATAATTTGATATAACGACAATAAAATCAAAATCACACGAAGTAAACGCAATATCATAAATATAAACAAATAATTGTAAAAAAAGAAATTTCGATAAAAAAAAGATGCTATAAAAGTGGCACCATCAGATTTCCGTACCTTACAGTACACGTCAGTCGTTTTACACAAGACAGCATAGCGTTTTGTGGTCTTCAAGTTGGAGATCATACGCTGATATTGTTTAAGAGGACGGGGGTCAACGCTATTTTCATTGAGATCCGCAAACCAATTTTCAACAACTCGACAGTTTAAGAGTTGAAGGGTTGGACAATAGAGATAGTGGAAACGTTTGTTCGTTATATCACCGCGATATGAACGACCTCATATTCGGATTGCAATTATATCAATTACAATTTTAGAACAAGGCGGCTTCATTTCCGATACAAAACATCTTTTCTGTTCCAAAATAACAACAGGACATCTGTAACAGCTGAACACAAAGAGCAATTTGACAATAACCTCGTTACCTATATGTTCCGCATCATATTACATCAGTGTTACCACGCGTGTTGAAATGAATGTTTCGTCTCCCACACTATCAGCTCAGAAAGAGTGATTTCTGGGGAAAACAGACAAATTTGTTGTTGGAACAACTGGCTTACCTTGCTGGTCAGGTGCTGCGAGACTAGACATAAACCCCCTCATTATAGGGCCCGTTGCCTGGGCATATAAGCTAGCCACACCCGCTGAAACAGAACATATTGTAGTTAGCATTTTGAGATAGGTTTGTGTCATGGTTTGATGCTATCATCAGCTACTTCACATCACAGAATACATCATTTCATGAATATGAAGAGACTGAGGGTTGGAGTAGAAAGATATGAAGAGACCGTGGGTTGGAGTAGATGGATATGATGAGACCGTGGGTTGGAGTAGATGGATAGGATGAGACCGTGGGTTGGAGGAGATGGATCGGATGAGACTGTGGGTTGGAGTAGACGGATATGATGAGACCGTGGGTTGGTGTAGATGGATAGGAAGAGACCATGGGTTGGAGAAGATGGATAGGAAGAGACCGTGGATTGGAGTAGATGGATATGATGAGACCGTGGGTTCGAGAAGATGGATAGGAAGAGACCGTGGGTCGGAGTAGCTGTTTAGAAAGAGACCGTGGATTGGAGTAGATGGATACGATGAGACCGTGGATTGGAGAAGATGGATATGATGAGACCGTGGGTTAGAGTAGACGGATAGGATGAGACCGTGGGTTGGAGTAGATGGATAGAATGAGACCGTTGGTGGAGTAGATGGATATGATGAGACCGTGGGTTGGAGTAGAAGGATATGATGAGACCGTGGGTTGGAGTAGATGGATAGGAAGAGACCGTCGGTCAGAGTAGATGGATAGGAAGAGACCGTGGGTTGGAGTAAATGGATATGAAGAGACCCTGGGTTGTAGGAGATGTATCTGAAAGGACTTCGGGGTGGAGTAGATGGATATGATGAGACCGTGCGTTGGAGTAGCTGGATAGGTTGAGACCGTGGGTTTGAGAAGATGGATATGATGAGGCCTTGGGTTGTAGTAGAAGGATATGATGAGACCGTGGTTTGGAGTAGATGTATCTGAAGGGACCTCGGGATTGAGTAGAAGGTTAGGATGAGACCGTGGGTTGGAGTAGATGGATATGAAGTGACCTCTGGATTGAGTAGATGGATATGAAGGGACCGAGGGTTGGAGTAGATGGACATGAAGAGACCGTGGGTTTGAGTACATGGATATGATGAGACCGTCGGTTGGAGTAGCTGGATATGAAGAGACCGTCGGTTGGAGTAGCTCGATATGAAGAGACCGTTGGTTGGGGTAGATGGATAGGAAGAGACCGTGGGTTGGAGTAGATGGATATGATGAGACCGTGGTTTGGAGGAGAAGGATATGATGAGACCGTGAGTTGGAGAAGATGTATCTGAAGGGACCTCGGGATTGAGTAGAAGGTTAGGATGAGACCGTGGGTTGGAGTAGATGGATATGAAGTGACCTCTGGATTGAGTAGATGGATATGAAGGGACCGAGGGTTGGAGTAGATGGATATGAAGAGACTGTGGGTTGGAGTAGCTTGATATGAAGAGACCGTTGGTTGGAGTAGCTGGATATGAAGAGACCGTTGGTTGGAGTAGATGGATATGATGAGACCGTTGGTTGGAGTAGAAGGATATGGTGAGACCGTGGTTTGGAGTAGAAGGATATGATGAGACCGTGGGTTGGAGAAGATGTATCTGAAGGGACCTCGGGATTGAGTAGAAGGTTAGGATGAGACCGTGGGTTGGAGTAGATGGATATGAAGTGACCTCTGGATTGAGTAGATGGATATGAAGGGACTGAGGGTTGGAGTAGATGGATATGAAGAGACCGTGGGTTGGAGTAGCTTGATATGAAGAGACCGTTGGTTGGAGTAGCTGGATATGAAGAGACCGTTGGTTGGAGTAGCTGGATATGATGAGACCGTGGGGTGGAGTAGCTGGATATGAAGAGACCGTGGGTTAGTGTAGATGGATAGGAAGAGACCGTGGGTTGGAGTAGGTGGATATGATGAGGCCGTGGGTTGTAGTAGAAGGATATGATGAGACCGTGGTTTGGAGTAGATGTATCTGAAGGGACCTCGGGATTGAGTAGAAGGTTAGAATGAGACGGTGGGTTGGAGTAGATGGATATGAAGTGACCTCTGGATTGAGTAGATGGATATGAAGGGACCGATGGTTGCAGTAGATGTAAATGAAGGGACCTCGGGATGGAGTAGATGGATATGATGAGACCGTGGGTAGGAGTAGCTGGATATGAAGAGACCGTCGGTTGGAGTAGCTGGATATGATGAGACCGTGGGTAGGAGTAGCTGGATATGAAGAGACCGTCGGTTGGAGTAGCTGGATATGAAGAGACCGTTGGTTGGAGTAGAAGGATATGATGAGACCGTGGTTTGGAGTAGAAGGATATGATGAGACCGTGGTTTGGAATAGATGTATCTGAAGGGACCTCCGGATTGAGTAGAAGGTTAGCATGAGACCTGGGTTGGGGTAGATGGATATGAAGGGACCGAGGGTTGGAGTAGATGTAAATGAAGGGACCTCGGGATGGAGTAGATGGATATGAAGAGACCGTGGGTTGGAGAGATTGATAGGATGAGACCGAAAGTTGAGGTGAGTTTAATTGGGATTTAATGTCGCTGTCAAGATTATTGCGCGCGAGTGCGTGCGTGTGTGTGTGTGTTTGCTGGTTCCGGACTTAATCTGGTTTGTAGTGCTGGACCACCGAGATACAGTTAAACATTGCTACCCAAACCAGACACCTGATACTGAGTGTCGACCAGTCTTCGTTTTATACCCGAGCGAAATACAGGGTAACAGCAAGTGTCATATTTTAGTCTTTTGGTATGCCACGGCTCTTGAATGGAACCACCGACTTCCTGCTATCCGAACACATGCTTTATCCACTAGGCCACAGTGGCGTTTAGATGTTTTTGACGAGACAGAATACCATGTTACCATATTTGATGAATGTGACGTAGAGTTGTCGTGCATACCCACCTACGTACATCATGGCGTCGTTGGTGCTGGCCGCGGTGAGAAGAAGTGACACGATGTTTGACAGGACACCAACGAGAGCCATGCTGAGGCCGGACATGAATCGTCTGAGACACCACGTGGTGAATAAAATGATGAACCAAGACAGCAACACCCTAACGGCAGAGTACAGAGTGATATGGGTCGTCGACCAGAAGAAGGGGCGGGTGAGCAGGAACAGGTTCAGGATCATCTGTTTCGTATAATCCACAGCAAAGGAAGTGAAGAACGTCACGAGGCACAAATTGACTAACGTGCGGTTTTTTGACGGGGCGAAGTAAAAGTTAAATCCTTTTTTAATAATCGATAAATTTTCTTTCAGTACATATTTTGATGTCGCTGTCTGGTGCGTTTCTGGAATTAACAGTATGACCACCAAAAACATTGCAATGTCGAGAGCAACACTAAGATATAGTGGTTGTAGGTAGCCGGCTCTGTCAATCCAGATTCCACTAATAGACGCTCCAAGAGCAGAGGCCAGGAACAGGATGAAGGAGAGCAGAATCATACGCCATGATCTCCTATCCCCTGGTTCAGTAATGTCCGCTACAGTGCTAAACAAAGCTGTCATCATTGTTGCAAAGGCACCTCCCAATCCATATGCCACTACTCCAATACACAAGAAGTAGACGCTTAAACTGTACCGAACAACAATAACAACATTGATACAATAAATCATTGCCCCAGTTAGTGAGAGATACATTAGCATCTTCCGCCCAAAAACGTCCGAGAGTCCCCCCATCAAGAGAGCAGTTATACTAGCAGGTACAATCATGCATAGAGTAATGATCATCAAATCAGTAGTAGCTTTGGTTTGTATGGCGTTCTCTCGGGCTGTGTTGTTGCTCTTGTGACTCTCATTGAAATGATTGATATCGTACTCGAGCTTTGCCCTCTCACGGAGGTAGAACTGTTGATGGGATATCAGATAGAACGCGTTTCCGAAGTACAGGAGAGCGATGACCTCCACGGCAACGTAGCCATGTCGTCTAGGAGTAGGTCTGGTGCGGCCGATGCTGCCGTAATCTGAAACGCATGTGTACAATTTGTAAAACATATCAGGTTTGCTTGTTTGTTTCAGGTAGCAGAAATATTCCAGCTATATCCCTTCGTCTGTAAATGATTAAGGGCCAGGGTATGAGTATAACGTTGCTTTCAACAGCATTCTAGTTATATTACGACGTGTCTGCTCAGTGTGGGAGGAAAGCCCAAAGTGATGCAAGTCTAAGACGTTTACCACGTTAGTGAAACCTACGAGAATGGGTATGGTGCAGACAAACCTAGAAACGTAATCGGGCGAACCGGTATTCGAACCGACAATGATTCTGAGTGCCCAAGGGATGCAAATGCAGGGCCACACGGAACGACATCATAATGACGGCATCAGCTTAACACTAATAAGCCAGTACATAAGAATTCCTCATCAATATTGGTAAACACTACATTGTTGCAAGGTGTTTCTAGAAAAAAAATACATATTTAAACTCACAGTTTGAATAAACAAAATTTCTTGTTGTCAGCTGTAGCTGAAAAAAAACTTGGCCTCCAGACAAAGGCCAAGTCCCCTTACCAGAACCAAGAATATCAAATGGTCGGTCTCTAATTTCAACTCTTTTTTATGAATCTCTGATGAAATATTTTAAAACGAACCAGAAGTACATATTTAACTAGAAACACAAATTTGCCTCTAAAATCACAGATTAGTTGATTTAAATGTGTTTCTTGTGATTCGGTGATGGTACAGTGTAGGGAAGATGACTTACCCGCGTCTTGTTTACGAACTGCATCAGTGGAAGTTGTTAACTTTGTCTCATGTTCAGCAGAGTCATCGTGTGCTGACATGACTTAACTGTTACAGAAGCAATTGTTTCTTCAGGGTTTGAAGAGATGTTGTCTTTGAGAACTGCAACACATGCACAAATGTTCATTAAGTTGTGACATATTAAAAGAAGGTATAGTTCAACTAGTTGAGTATCGATCTTGTCGAGCATAGGTTGCAAACGTGTTTCCTGAAATCCAGTTTGTAAAGTTCCCGTACAACCATGCTTCAGGTTTGAGACGAAACACAAAACCTAGCCCCCTGACGAGAGTAGTAAAGCATATGACTTATACCAATACCTTAACATGAAGGGAAGAATGGCATATCATAAAATCTAGCTTAGAAGATGAGTAATGTCTTATATGAAATATGGTGAATTGATCTCTCATCAGCCTAACAGCAAGAGACGTAAAAACGAATTGCATCCATCAAGACCATTCCTGCAATGATGTGACGAATTGCTTCTCTCGAGACCTTACCTGCAACAGATGGATCGAATTGCTTCTTTCGAGACCTTATCTGACAGAGATGGAACGAATTGCTTCTCTCGAAACCTTATCTGCAACAGATGTGACGAATTGGTTTCTTTCGAGCAAGTACCCAGAGAAGAAGTATTGAAGTGCTTACACGTACCTACTACATGCGTGTATACATCAAATGCATCGCATGCAAGTCCTATGCAAGTCACCTGTTAGAGTTCTATTGTTGTGTGAACAATGTAGGTGTAATGGTTTCCATATGTTTGCTGTACAGAATATCATCTGACACAGACATTTAATATTGGTGTTCTCTTATTGCTAGAATATCGACCAGGCGTTGCCACTATCCGATTTAACAAAGTTCGACACAGCGCGCACGCTTGGCGTCGCCTTACTTCTCTACAAACAGAAGCGGGTAGTGCTGTAAAATGATGCAGACATCAACACTGTTGATATAAAACATGCACATATTGTTGACTTACTATCTTCGGACATAACAGCAGCTGATGCCAGTCTATAACTGTGGTCATGATGATCCTGTCGTTATAACAAGTCAGGACGTCCTAATATAGTTTGTACCCGACCTGGACCCTGATGTTTCTAACAGACTACTAAGAAGGATTCCGTCCTGCTACTATGTACGTGGACAGAGTTGTAGAACCTAGGATTTGCATCGTTTCGCCTGCATATGACACAGGCATTTATTGAGATAGGTTCAAGGAAACAATAAACATATTCAATGCTTCATTTTTCTTTGGTAGCTGATAACCATGCTCACAGAAATCTTTCTGTCCTTAGTGTCAAGACCAGTCCAGTATCATCAGCATCTTCCAATTGAAAATGGAGGATTGACAAAAAAAATACTGAATTACAAAAATGCAGCAAGGAGGGTCTGGGTGATCCTGGCACAGTTAGGCTGGTTAGGTTCATTATCAGGTCAGGGCCCTTCCCCCCTCTACACGCAGCCCAGACAGTAAAAGGGACTTCTCCCAGGAAGCGATGCCTAGGCAAACCCACCGAGAACTTGAAGACTGCAACACTGCATCCCACAGATTTTCTGAAGTGTATATTTGTACTCTGCCCGAAGTGTTTCCTTGATATATCGAGTTTTTTAGCATGAACCCTCCATTGGCAATCAGTTCAAGGTCATCCGTGTAAAGGAGGTGAGAAAAGGGTGTTGGGGATCTTTGCTGAGGAGGTCCCGAATGATAACAAAAAAGTTGAAACAAAATCTTAGAGGTTTTAGTGATTAACAGAAAAGCAAGGGACTAAAGGAATCGCCCTGAAATATTCCTCTTCTAATCGAAATGGGTTCCGAAGTCACCACATTTTTTCAGGCAATCAGTTGTAATGAAACACAACAATGGTGACCTTATTTTTTCGTGTATACAATCATTATAATCCTCTACCCATGGTTCCTCAAGGTTACAGTTGCCGGGCATAGACCACACCTGTTTCCAAAACTCATATATAGAAGGCTAGGACATTACTCATCTTCTAGCCTAGATTTTATGATGTGCCATCATTCTCTTCTTGTTAAGGTTTTGATAAGCCATTGCTACTCTCTCCAGGGGGCAAGGTTTCGTGTTTTTTACCTGAAGCACGATTGTACGGGAACATTACAAACTGGATTTCAGGAAACACGTTGCAACCTATGCTCGAGAAGATCGATACTCAACTAGTTGAACTATACCCCCTTTCACCTGTTGCAGTTCTCAAAGACAAGACCTCTTCAAACCTTGAAGTCATGCCAGCACATGATGACTCTGCTGTACAGGAGACAGATTTTACAACTTAAAATGATGCTGTTAGAAACGGGTAAATCATCTTTCCTGCACCGTTTTATCACCCAATCACAGCAAACACATATGAATACACCAATCTGTGATCTTAGAGGCAAAGTTGTGTTCATAGTTAAATATGTAGTTCTGGTTAGTTTAAATCCTTTGTCAAATTCTTATCAGAGATTTATAAAGAAGAGCTTGAATAATGTTATCTAGGGGACCGACCATTTGATATTCTTGGTTCTGGTAATGATGCTGCTACTTTGTCTGGAGAACAGATATTCTTTTAACTACAGCTGATAACCAGATATTTTGTCAAAAAGACAACCCCAAAAAAACTCTCAACAATGTAATGTTTGTGTCAGACAATTTCTTTCTATTTCAACAACATGAAGCATTGCTATTTTTTCCAGCATTTGTCGGGGCACATTATTTTTTTCAAAACCGTTTGTAATGCCAATATTGATGAGAAATTATGTACTGGGTTATCATTTGTAAGCCGAAGTCGTCATTATGATGTCCTTCTGTGTTTGTTGGTTGATCTATGTGTGGTCTGTTATGACATTTGCAGTTCAACTGTGTGTGGTCTTATAGGTCTCCACGGTCTTATGCTACTGAACCACTGGGAATTACACAGTGGGAGACATTTTTTGTCGTTCCCTGTCCTTTCGACCCTTCGCATCCATAAGACATCACACTTGGATCTCACACATCTCCCCCGTGGGGATTTCGGGTTAGAATACGTCACCAGCAACCTCTGCTTTTCGTATGAGGTGACTTGAAGTATCAGTTGGTCAGTCTCAGTGACTTGCTTGATTGCGTGTCATCATAACTCACGGTATCTTCATATTCATCAAGTGATGTATTCTGTGACGTGAAGCAGCTGATAATGGTAATACACCTTGACACTAAGCTACATATACATCCATATGCTGACATCAATATATCTGTTTACCAACAAGGTAATCCAGTTTTTTCCAACAACAAATGTGTCTGCTTTCCTCAGAAACCACTCTCTCTGAGCTGATACTATGGGAGGTTAAACAATCACTTTCAACAGCACCATTACGCGCAGTAACACCATCAACTTGATGACGTAATAAGAATGAGTGAGTGAGTGAGTGAGTTGGGTTTAACGCCGCTTTAAACAGTATTCTAGTTATATCGCGGCGTGTCAGCTTAATGTGGGAGGAAAGCCCAAAGTGATGCAGGTCCCAGACGTTTACCACTTCGGTGAAACCCACGAGCACGGGTATGGTGCTGACAAACCTAGAAATATAATCGGGGCGAACCGGGATTCGAACCCACAATCATAGTTTTCTGGCGTGCCCAAGGGACGCAACTCTGCACAGCGAATCGCGGCGCCTAAGACGACTGGGCCACCCGTGCCCCCCTAATAAGAATGAAAACACACACACAGACATACACACACGCACATGGGGTGCTGATATTTATACATTCATCAGGTGTACAAGTATTAAATATACAGAAAATATCCAGATATTCGTTCTTGTCAAAACTCCTTTATCCACACAAGATCTTTCGTCGTTCAACGGCTCTTCAGGTGTAATGTAAACTTTGATTTAACATACATATAAATTGTTTCGTATGTATTCATATAGGTAACGAGGGTATTCTCAAATTGCACTTTGTGTTCAGCTGTTACAAATGCCATGTTGTTATTCACTATAAATGCAATCCCAGTATTAGATCCTTCATATCGCGGTGATAAAACGACCAAATGTTTCCACTATCTGTTGTCCAACACTTTAACTCTTTACCTCCCAAGTCGTTAACAATTGGTTTGCGGACCTGAATGAAAATAGCGCTGGCCACGTCATCTAAAACTCTACATTACTGTATGATCGATCTCTTACTTGAAGAAGGTAAAACTCTATGCTGCTTTGTCGAAAGCGACTCACCTAACCCCTAAGGTACGAAACACTAATGGTGCCACTTTGGTTGCAGAATTGATTTTTTAATCGAATTTTCTTCTTATGCCAAATATTTTTCTCATATTTCGAAATTTCGATAATTTTCTTTTTACTTCGATTATATTTTCGTGTGCCTTCTCGATACTTCGTTATTTTCGATTATTTTCGATTATTTTCTCGATAGCTGTAACCACTGTGCCCCACCGCCCAATGTTATAATAGTGAGATTTAATATGACTAATTGTACATAAGTCATAGCTGTTCTGAAGAGTACGATTGCACGATGCTACGAACGGTCATTTATCTGCCATTTAATTTTTTTTTTTTTTTTTTTTTTTTTTTTTAGCATTTTATTTCACCTTTTCCCCGTTACATGAGGAGGATGGCCATCCAGGGCAATGGTCACCCTCACATTCTGAAGACAATGTATGTATACATTTGGGGAAAATTAAATACAAGTATTGGAAATGGTGCCAAGGTGATTTTTAAGAAATATAACAAAACATACACACAGTCAAGCATTCAAAATATTATTCAAACACAATGTATGTATACATTTGGGGAAAATTAAATGCAAGTATTGGAAATGGTGCCAAGGTGATTTTTAAGAAATATAACAAAACATACACACAGTCAAGCATTCAAAATATTATTCAAACACTGATCCTGGCAAGAAACAAATATGAGAAAGAGATACATATGTTATTGCTGTTCTGCTTCTTCAAACAATATGTGATAAAAGATCCATGATTTATAAAATGTAGCTACATTACCATTTGTAAAGGCTATATTCTTCTCAATTTTGTATCTCAGACTAACATCTTTTTGAAATATTGCGAAGCAAAGATTTGTTTTTTTGAATCTGCAAAAATATATAAAAGATTTAGCTATTAAAATAAGAATATCAAAAACTTTGTCAGTAACAATATTTTCTTTAACACCAAATAAAACAAGTTCAGCACTTAATTTCATATGATGTATATGGCTACATTTATTTATCCAATCTAAGAAGGTTTTCCAAAATACTTGTACAAGTTCACATTCCCAAAAAATGTGTACAATAGTTTCATCATAACATTTGCAAAAAGAACAAAGCGTGGTATCAGAAATATTCATTTTAAACAACAAAGAATTAGTTGCAAGTATTCTATGTATGATTCGATACTGAAACCAACGCAATTTCACCTCTTGTGTTGCTTTAGAAGGCTTAATACAAATAATATTCCAATTAAATTTTCCAAACTGTAACTCCCACTTTTCCTGGCCTCTTGTTTTCATATCAACAAATACAAGAAGATTATAAATATATTTAGAGCCTGTCCTTTGAGAGAAGATCTTTTTAATAGCACAGCGATGTTCTTCTACAGAGTCAGTAGGGAGTTTAGTCAAATTCAAACTGGTCAAATATCTCTTAATACCACAAACAATACCATAAAAAGCCAAGAAAGTAGATTTTATCTTGTACATGTCTTTGAATTCTTCAAAAGATATGAATTCATGATTATGATTTACAATGTCTGCTATTTGGGTGATACCTTTATCAACCCAATCTTTCAAGAATATTGGTAATTTATTAACTTTGATGTTGCGATTGAAAAAAATAGGTTCAGCTAAAAAAACTGCTGAAAGTATCTGGTACAATCTTCTTATCAAAATCTACAAAAGCTTCATAACAGTTTTTCCAAAATAAATTATAAAACAAACACAGTTTCTTTTCTATAAAACGAGATCCAAACTCTTCGACTTCATTAACAAAAGGAAATGCAGCCTTGTGGATGTCTTTCCACTTTTTGGTATCTCCACATAATAATCGCCTTATCCAAGTAATCTTAATAGATTTTGTGTACAAAAATATATTAATCATACCTAACCCTCCCTGTTCAACAGGTTGACAGACTTTTAGTCTTTTAACTTTATCAGTCTTTCCATTCCACAAAAACTTAAAGAGCATGTCATTTAATGTTTTAAGAAATTCTTGGGAGGGATCCGGCAATGATAACAACAAATAGGTAAGCTTTGATACAAGTAGAGATTTTATAACTACAATTCTGCCAATTGGTGTAATAACTCTTTTCATCCATTTCTGAATTATTACTTTCAATTCATACAACTTATCTTTAAAATTTAAGTCTGACATTTTTTTCAAATCAACTGAGAATTTAATACCTAAAATTCTAAATACCTCTGGGTTCCAGCTTATTGGACAATTCTCCATGTACTTATCTTTACAACCTCTTTTGGAACCAATCCAAATTGCCTGAGATTTATCATAATTAATTTTCAGACCAGAAATATTTGCAAAATAATTAAGTGTTTCAATAGTAGCTTCAAAAGAGGACTGACTACCATCTAAAAGTAATTCAGTATCATCAGCATATTGACACATCAAAAATTCTTTGTCTTCAATAAAAATACCTTTGATATTAACATTAGAGCGAATCAAATTCGACAATATTTCTGCATAAAATAAATATATAAGGAGACAATGGGTCACCCTGTCTGCAACCTCTCTGAATATTAAACCAAGAGGACATGTTACCATTTATAGACATAGCACTCTTAATATTAACATAAAAAGTAGAAATATATTTTCTTAAATTATCTCCAAAACCCCAAAATTTTAAACATTTGTCAATGAAAGACCAAGCAATAGAATCAAAGGCTTTTTCAAAGTCAATCAAAAGAAGTAAGCCAGGTATTTTTTTCTTTTCAGTATACGATAACATATCATATATCAAACGAATATTATCCCCAATATAACGGCCAGACATAAAGCCAGTTTGGTCTTCATTAATAATAAATGGAAGTTTTGCTTTAATTCTATTTGCAATACATGATGAGGCTAATTTATAAGAAACATTAAGTAATGAAATAAGTCTCCAATTTGTCAAAAAACGTTTTGGCTTGTCACCCTTTGGGATACAAACAACGACCCCCTGTTTTTGAGTAACTGACAATTCTCCTGTCTTTAAGCCATAATTTAGAGATCTCAATAAAAAAAGTTCCTATATCTTTCCAAAAGAACTTGTAGAATTCTGAAGGAAATCCATCTGAACCTGGGCTTTTTTGATTTGGCATGTTTTTTAATGCTATAGCTAATTCTTCTAAAGTAATCATATTCTCCAAATCTTTATTAGCCGATTTGTCTAAAATTGGTAAAGTATTTTTTGTCAAGAATGGAGTCTAGATCAACATCATGTATGCAATCTTCTGCCATTTAAATAATTTAATTCAAATTTCAAATTAAACACACAAACATAGATTGTTTCTGGCCTGTCCATAATCGAATATTGACCAGCCAAACCAGTGATTGACTGAGAGAGGAAAGTTCCACACCGTTGGGGCACGATGACATACGTCCATCCAGGTCACACATTCTAACCACCTGATGCACTTTTGACTCAGGGCGAACTGTGGGCTGCACACTGATAGTTAAAGAGCCTAGAATCCTACAAAAGGGTGTTTGCAGTTTCAGTCTGTTTCAGGTGCCGTGTTTTGTGTGATTGATCTTCACTGGTCTCCACTGCAGTGTTTACAATAGTGAGATGTCTGATCTACGAGGCACAATTAGTGATATGTCCAAGCTTTGTATTCATTGTACTCGCTCTCATCCTAACCTTTGTTGCAGCGCCTCTGTTATGAGTAAACATTGTGTTGTTCTGGTAGTGGCAGCACTACTGAGCGTAGCCATCTCGTGTTTGATCCTCGTGGGCTGCCCAAACACAGGCAATAATATTATCACATTTCCTTTGTGATCATTCCAGCCAATTGTAGATCAATGAACAATGGATTTCATCATTCTTCAGCATCGCCAAACGACTCCACGACAGCAGGGCAGAATGAAGGGCCGATGAGAAGATATGTGCACCGGACCGCCTCCGTATAAATGCATAGTCAGAGGAAAGATATTTACATATGCTTGCTGAATAATGGGAAAAACGCCACACAAAATTGCACATCCTAATGACTAACCATTTTAATGGAAGATCCTAGTTATAAAACAACATTAACATCCGTAAAAATATATCCGAAATCCGATTAACAAGAACATCTACAGTTGTAATATTTCGCCATATTTGTAATTATGTGACAATTGAATGATGTGTACCTGTTCCAAGTACACCTGTGACAGAATGAGTGCACAAACGAAATACTAACGTAGATAAACAATACAGATCATCAGATGCGGTGCGTACAAATTCTTAAGATATAATTATGATATGATAAGATACATTTTAATACTAAATTAGTATTTTAAGTGATGCCCGTTTATAACACAGGGGGGCACAGTTGATGAAGTGGGTTCCACCAAAGTGGCAGACCCCTATCCCCCTCCACACCCCACACCACCACCGCCACCACCCCTCAATAAGCCATTTCAATCATTTGTAGTTGAATAGAATTAGTTCCTCCAGCCATGCAGAGACTGCGATGTGTCAATTCACCAAGGTACATCCGATGTAAGAAATGTCAGTCTGTTAGCTTGGAGATACATAAGCGACAAGACTCACGGACCCTCTCCGAAGTAGCTGGCACGCGCAAATCGAAATTGCCGTCACAGCCATTCTCCTTCCGACAATCCAAGATGGCGGCTTTCAGCGCGAGGTACACCGACATAGCTAAGCATATTGACGCTTCGCCGATACCCTGTGATAAAAGCATGTAAATAGTTAGTGTTGTCGTACATTTAAGTTTAGCCAGAGACCTTAAGCTCTGTCAACGTAAAAAAATGTTAATTGTCAAACTTTAAGTGCCTAAGCTCACATTGAGATACAACGCCAAAGAAAGAATGCGAGAGGTTAACTGCGCAGGTTAACAATCGTGCATGAAAATGCACGGTAACTACATAAGTATCATTTTCTGTAAGGAGCCGACCATTCATATTTGGGGATGGGGGATTTGGATGTTGGATGTACTGAAATCAACAATTACAGTCAAACTCCGTTGTGTCGAACTTTGAAGTGTCGAGCTTATGGTTGTCTCGAAGAAAAAGTTTGGCCCCTGCGTATTCCTTTTTATTCATAATTTTTCGGTTGTGTCGAACATCGGAGAACTCTAACCATTTACGTAGGTCCCTTCAACTTGTACTCAACGGTGTTTAACTGATGCGAGTCCTCAAAAACCAAAAACCGGTTGGGTTCCTCCTTTTGGAAGACACCGTGGGGATTCCGGGTCAGAATAGTTCCCTAGCAACCAAGGCTAGCCTTAAGGGGCATCTTAACGTATCGGGTGGGGTCAGGCAAGGTGACTTGGTTGATTGGTTGTCATCGTACCCCGGCAGCGTAGATCGATGCTCATAATATCAACCATTGAATTGTAAACCTGTAAAGATCCGGGTTAGAAGAAGTTTTCAGCAACCCATGCTTGCAGTGACAAGCAACTAAGCTAGTGGTCGACTATAGGGTGGTCAGGCTCGCTGACTTGGTTGATACACGTCTTCGTATCCCAATTGCGTTAATCGATGCTTATGATATCAATGATTGGATTGTCTCTGTCCAGACTCGAATATTTACAGACCGCCGTCGTAAAGCTGGAATATTGCTGAGTGCGGTGTTGAACAAAAAACAAACAAAGCATTGAATTGTCTGGTCCAGACGCAATTGTTTAAAGGCCGCCGTCATACACGTGGAATATTGCTGAGTACGATGTTAAACAAAGCTCACACACACACAAAAATAACCTTTATGAGAACAAAAGTTGAAGCATTTTTAAAAGCAAATATATGGACCAACTGGATGTTCGTTTCATGTGGTGAAAAGGTCATTAGAAACCTAGAAGATTGTTAAACAAAGAACTTACCTTGGAGGAGTAAATACCATACGGGTTGTCGCTATCTTTGAGCAAGGAGACATTGAGTTTACGGGGGATGTTCCTGACGGTGGGAATCCTGTATTCACTAGGCCCCCCTTTCAACATCCATCCATCCTCTGACACCACGGCCCTCTCCATCAACATGTTGCCACATCCCTGGAACATGGTCAGATTATTGGCGTGCCCACCATAACAAGCCTGGAACATGGGAAGATGACTAATGTGCCCCTAACAACAAGCCTGGAACATGGGCAGATTACTGATGTGTTCAACACAAGAAGCCTGGAACATTGGCAAATTATTGTTGTGCCCACAATAACAAGCATGGAACACGGGCAGATTACTGATGTGTCCACTATAACAAACCTGGAACATTGGCAGATTACTGATGTTTCCACTATTTCAAGCCTGGAACATGGGAAGATTACTGATGTCTCCACTATTACAAGCCTGGAACATGGGCAGATTACTGATGTGTCCACAATAACAAGCCTGGAACATGGGCAGATTACTGATGTGTCCACTATAACAAGCCTGGAACACGGGCAGATTACTGATGTGTCCACAATAACAAGTCTGGAACATGGGCAGATTACTGATGTGTCCACTATAACAAGCCTGGAACATGGGCAGATTACTGATGTGTCCACTATAACAAGCCTGGAACATGGGCAGATTATTGATGTGTCCACTATTTCAAGCCGGGAACATGGGCAGATTACTGATGTGTCTTCTATAGTAAGCCTGGAACATGGACAGATTACTGATGTGTCCACAATAGTAAGCCTGGAACATGGGAAGATTACTGATGTGTCCACTATATCAAGCCTGGAACATGGGCAGATTACTGATGTGTCCACTACAAGCAGCCTGGAACACGGGCAGATTACTGATGTGTCTACTATAACAAGCCTGGAACACGGGCAGATTACTGATGTGTCCACTATAACAAGCCTGGAACACGGGCAGATTACTGATGTGTCCACTATTTCAAGCCTGGAACATGGGCAGATAACTGATGTGTCTTCTATAGTAAGCCTGGAACATGGGCAGATTACTGATGTGTCCACAATAGTTAGCCTGGAACATGGGAAGATTACTGATGTGTCCACTACAAGAAGCCTGGAACATGGGCAGATTACTGATGTGTCCACTACAAGCAGCCTGGAACACGGGCAGATTACTGACGTGACCACTACAACAAACCTGGAACATGGGCAGATTACTGATGTGTCCACTATATCCAGCCTGGAACATGGGCAGATTACTGATGTGTCCACTACAAGCAGCCTGGAACACGGGCAGATTACTGATGTGTCTACTATAACAAGCCTGGAACACGGGCAGATTACTGATGTGTCCACTATAACAAGCCTGGAACACGGGCAGATTACTGATGTGTCCACTATTTCAAGCCTGGAACATGGGCAGATAACTGATGTGTCTTCTATAGTAAGCCTGGAACATGGGCAGATTACTGATGTGTCCACAATAGTTAGCCTGGAACATGGGAAGATTACTGATGTGTCCACTACAAGAAGCCTGGAACATGGGCAGATTACTGATGTGTCCACTACAAGCAGCCTGGAACACGGGCAGATTACTGACGTGACCACTACAACAAACCTGGAACATGGGCAGATTACTGATGTGTCCACTATAACAAGCCTGGAACATGGGCAGATTACTGGCGTGTCCACTATAACAAGCCTGAAACATGGGCAGATTACTGGTGTGTCCAGTATATCAAGCCTGGAACATGGGCAGATTACTGGCGTGTCCACTATAACAAGCCTGAAACATGGGCAGATTACTGGTGTGTCCAGTATAACAAGCCTGGAACATGGGCAGATTACTGGTGTGTCCACTATATCAAGCCTGGAACATGGGCAGATTACTGGTTTGTCCAGTATAGTAAGCCTGGAACACGGGCAGATTACTGATGTGTCCACTATAACAAGCCTGGAACATGGGCAGATTACTTATGTGTCCACTATAACAAGCCTGGAACATGGGCAGATTACTGGTGTGTCCAGAATATCAAACCTGGAACATGGGCAGATTACTGATGTGTCCACTATAACAAGCCTGGAACATGGGCAGATTACTGGTGTGTCCAGTATAGTAAGCCTGGAACACGGGCAGATTACTGATGTGTCCAGTATAACAAGCCCGGAACATCGGCAGATTACTGGTGTGTCCAGAATATCAAGCCTGGAACATGGGCAGATTACTGATGTGTCCACTATAACAAGCCTGGAACATGGGCAGATTACTGATGTGTCCACTTTATCAAGCCTGGAACATGGGCAGATTACTGATGTGTCCACTACAAGCAGCCTGGAACACGGGCAGATTACTGACGTGACCACTACAACAAACCTGGAACATGGGCAGATTACTGATGTGTCCACTATAACAAGCCTAGAACATGGGCAGATTACTAGCGTGTCCACTATAACAAGCATGAAACATGGGCAGATTACTGGTGTGTCCGGTATAACAAGCCTGGAACATGGGCAGATCACTGGTGTGTCCAGTATAGTAAGCCTGGAACACGGGCAGATTACTGATGTGTCCACTATAACAAGCCTGGAACATTGGCAGATTACTGGTGTGTCCAGTATAACAAGCCTGAAACATGGGCAGATTACTGGTGTGTCCAGTATATCAAGCCTGGAACATGGGCAGATTACTGGCGTGTCCACTATAACAAGCCTGAAACATGGGCAGATTACTGGTGTGTCCAGTATAACAAGCCTGGAACATGGGCAGATTACTGGTGTGTCCACTATATCAAGCCTGGAACATGGGCAGATTACTGCTTTGTCCAGTATAGTAAGCCTGGAACCCGGGCAGATTACTGATGTGTCCACTATAACAAGCCTGGAACATGGGCAGATTACTTATGTGTCCACTATAACAAGCCTGGAACATGGGCAGATTACTGGTGTGTCCAGAATATCAAGCCTGGAACATGGGCAGATTACTGATGTGTCCACTATATCAAGCCTGGAACATGGGCAGATTACTGATGTGTCCACTATATCAAGCCTGAAACATGGGCAGATTACTGGTGTGTCCACAATAGTAAGCCTGGAACATGTGAAGATTACTGATGTGTCCACTATATCAACCTGGAACATGGGCAGATTACTGATGTGTCCACTACAAGCAGCCTGGAACACGGGCAGATTACTGATGTGTCTACTAAAACAAGCCTGGAACACGGGCAGATTACTGATGTGTCAACTATAACAAGCCTGGAACACGGGCAGATTACTGATGTGTCCACTATTTCAAGCCTGGAACATGGGCAGATTACTGATGTGTCTTCTATAGTAAGCCTGGAACATAGGCAGATTACTGGTGTGTCCAGTAGAACAAGCCTGAAATATGGGCAGATTACTGATGTGTCCACTATAACAAGCATGGAACACGGGCAGATTACTGATTTGTCCAGTATATCAAGCCTGGAACATGGGCAGATTACTGGCGTGTCCACTATATCAAGCCTGAAACATGGGCAGATTACTGGTGTGTCCACAATCGTAAGCCTGGAACATGGGAAGATTACTGATGTGTCCACTATATCAAGCCTGGAACATGGGCAGATTACTGATGTGTCCACTACAAGCAGCCTGGAACACGGGCAGATTACTGACGTGACCACTACAACAAACCTGGAACATGGGCAGATTACTGATGTGTCCACTATATCCAGCCTGGAACATGGGCAGATTACTGATGTGTCCACTACAAGCAGCCTGGAACACGGGCAGATTACTGATGTGTCTACTATAACAAGCCTGGAACACGGGCAGATTACTGATGTGTCCACTATAACAAGCCTGGAACACGGGCAGATTACTGATGTGTCCACTATTTCAAGCCTGGAACATGGGCAGATAACTGATGTGTCTTCTATAGTAAGCCTGGAACATGGGCAGATTACTGATGTGTCCACAATAGTTAGCCTGGAACATGGGAAGATTACTGATGTGTCCACTACAAGAAGCCTGGAACATGGGCAGATTACTGATGTGTCCACTACAAGCAGCCTGGAACACGGGCAGATTACTGACGTGACCACTACAACAAACCTGGAACATGGGCAGATTACTGATGTGTCCACTATAACAAGCCTGGAACATGGGCAGATTACTGGCGTGTCCACTATAACAAGCCTGAAACATGGGCAGATTACTGGTGTGTCCAGTATATCAAGCCTGGAACATGGGCAGATTACTGGCGTGTCCACTATAACAAGCCTGAAACATGGGCAGATTACTGGTGTGTCCAGTATAACAAGCCTGGAACATGGGCAGATTACTGGTGTGTCCACTATATCAAGCCTGGAACATGGGCAGATTACTGGTTTGTCCAGTATAGTAAGCCTGGAACACGGGCAGATTACTGATGTGTCCACTATAACAAGCCTGGAACATGGGCAGATTACTTATGTGTCCACTATAACAAGCCTGGAACATGGGCAGATTACTGGTGTGTCCAGAATATCAAACCTGGAACATGGGCAGATTACTGATGTGTCCACTATATCAAGCCTGGAACATGGGCAGATTACTGGTGTGTCCAGTATAGTAAGCCTGGAACACGGGCAGATTACTGATGTGTCCAGTATAACAAGCCCGGAACATCGGCAGATTACTGGTGTGTCCAGAATATCAAGCCTGGAACATGGGCAGATTACTGATGTGTCCACTATAACAAGCCTGGAACATGGGCAGATTACTGATGTGTCCACTTTATCAAGCCTGGAACATGGGCAGATTACTGATGTGTCCACTACAAGCAGCCTGGAACACGGGCAGATTACTGACGTGACCACTACAACAAACCTGGAACATGGGCAGATTACTGATGTGTCCACTATAACAAGCCTAGAACATGGGCAGATTACTAGCGTGTCCACTATAACAAGCATGAAACATGGGCAGATTACTGGTGTGTCCGGTATAACAAGCCTGGAACATGGGCAGATCACTGGTGTGTCCAGTATAGTAAGCCTGGAACACGGGCAGATTACTGATGTGTCCACTATAACAAGCCTGGAACATTGGCAGATTACTGGTGTGTCCAGTATAACAAGCCTGAAACATGGGCAGATTACTGGTGTGTCCAGTATATCAAGCCTG